CCGGGTTAACTTTCGGAATGGAACGAATAAAGAGCAATGCAAGAGGGATCAAGTCCATATGCTATCAGAACACTTAGAGTCGTTGTGGAAAAAAAATATAAATGTAGACTTCAAACAAGCCTATTTCTTTGTGGACTTTAATAGGTCTTTGATTATCTTAAATCGAAAAAACGCCACAAACATGAATAGATCCTTTTCAAGCGAAGCCGGAGTGGACCGCTTATATGCAATATGACAGGAAACCTTGTCTGAAATAGTTATATACAGTTATATACGTCTATATTCAAAAATAATTTGCTAGTTCTAAGAAGCTTTGAAAAAGTAAGTCTAGATTTATTCCGCGTGTTATAATTATGGACACTACACATTTTGTCAAATGTGTTAAAATAGTTTCTTAAGCCAGCTATACATCATGTTGGCCGAGCAAAGGCGAGCACCTACTTACAGACAGCCCATTTGTCCAGCCTCGCCATTGCTCGTCGACGCTCGACGCTCGCTTAGCTGGCCGAGTGTAGGCGAGCGCCAACCTGTATACGATTTTTTTTTGCGCCCGAAGCAATTAAAGGGCTACCCTATATGTAGGGAGGCGGAAAATGCATTGCGCATACCACGATAGCCGGTCTATCGTGGTTATGAGGGACTCACTACCTACCGGGGGAACCTAAGTGCTACCCTCTAAAAACCGCCTTTGGGGACTGGCAACTGGCTGTTTAAGCTTTCTTATGCCGTATCGGGAGCGACTCTCTTTTGGGAAAAGAGGGCGCAGCTGTATACGGTTCGTTTGGCGTACCTTGCCTGCCACTCGGGATCGCTCGCTACGACTCGTCCACTTCGGAACAGTGTCAGTTTTTCTGCACAAATCAAAAGCGCTCGCCTGCACTCGGTAAGTGTAAATGGCGCCCATCGGCCATATCAGTTTGTCAGTTAACGCCCCGGTCAGATATTGTTTTAATTATAATACTCAGGATCCAATCCTTTCTGCCTCTTCTTTTTAATAACTTTATTGCGGAGTACACTGAAAATAATTAAATGCACGCATTAAATAAATACCGTGGTAGCTCAGATGGTTAGCGCTCGCTGTAAATTTCACAATACGCGAGCAAACCGTGTTCGATCCCCGCCGGCACCAGTGAAATTGTTAATTGCAATTTTAAGTGCTGATTTACCACGTGCTCGGCGGAGAAGGAAAACATCGTGAGGAAACCTGCATGAGAAATAAGAAAAAAAAATTTCGAAAACATGTGAAGTTCGCCAACACGCATTGGGGCAGTGGAATAGCGGACTATTCCTTGCCCTAAAACCCCTTTCAGAAATGAGTGGAGGCCTGTGCTCAGCAGTGGGACGTATATAGGCTGTAACTTTACTTTTTATTAAATAAATAACAGTTGTTTTTACGTCGTTCATATCGTTCTCATTCTCAATGACAACTAATTACGTTCATCAATCAACATGTGGATAGCACCACAAAAACTCGTGAACGTGTAGACTGCATCACTCGCCTAGTATCAATTTGCTTACGCTCGCGTTGGCTTTGGCTTGGCCAACATGTATAGCCGGGGTTACATAGTAGATAATACTATCCAAAATAAGTTGTGATGCAACAGTTACGATATTAATTTCTTTAAAAAGCCTCTGAGTGAGTTCCTTGGTCTAACGTTGGAAATTGTACTATAAGCTTTTTCTATGGTATTTTACATTTCGTATTTTCGCAATGTCTATTTATATGTTATTATGAGTCCACAAGATCTTCCCGGATTTCTCAGTCATCACTGCTATCATTATATTTACAACCCAACATATGTAGACTGCTGAACACAGACCTCCCCCAAGGTATGTCACTGTCACAAAACACGGTGCTGAGCTACATGCATCTACTTCATTCATATCTTACCAAAACATTACTCCTTCTTGTGAGGACTGCCTCACACTTCGCTCACTAGTACTTGGCTGTTACATCCATAGCCTTACCAGGTCGCCACTGCATCAGGATGATATGGAGGTCACCCTACTCCCAGATTACTGGTACATGGCTGCCACTCCAGAACCTCACCAATCGATTGCTGGTTCTTCAAGCTATATGGGCATTGCCACTTCGACTTGTACTATTTCGGTTGCACACTCTGGTTCCACTACGGATATTATCATATTTATTAGGTTCTATCACGCAGGGTAAACTCCGAGCTCACTGAGCGACCTTTACCTTCTACATACGATCAGAAGTGAAAGACCTGAGATGTAGTCTTATATATAGATGTAGTCTCATAGATGTCAGAATACATAGAGTAATGCATTCTCTTACAGTGCCTCTATATACTTAAAATGGAAAAGTAGTTGTGAATCACCTGCATCGTCAATTTTTATCGGGTGGTCACTCTACCTTTGTTTCCTATTGATTAATTCCTAAATACTATCAGAGGTAGTATTTTATAATAATACGCTATATGTTTTAGTTAATATTAAGAAAACACTAAATTATAAAATAGTAGAAACAAAATATGACGGTTCAAATATTTGAAATTTTTTATTAAAAATTGTTCGCTTTCAAACTGTAATAAATGGCAGAGGCTTTTTATTAGCTCTATAAAAGTAGGTCAAAATGAAAAAGGTTTATTTTCTGCTGGCGTTGATTGAGATATTTGCTTTTAAAAAATCAAGATTTTTGATCAGAATGCACAGGCGAGCATTTTTAGTAGCATCATAATGATGCTTTAGCAATAATGTTTGTTTTACTTGAAAATAATATTTTCATAAAGTGGGTCAAATAAAAGGCGTCAGCTGCTAACAATGTCTACAAAAATAACATCATAAAGTTTTTGGCATTGGAAGCCTCGCAGAATACGACGGAGCGTGATATAATATTTCATTCATAATAGTGCAAAAACATTTTCTTTCAACTTAATTAGGGACAAGAAAATACCCTCTCCTAAAGTTAGTAAATTTTTGATCCCGTATGGTACGAGTATATTAAATTGATTTATCACCTTTCCACCTATTTGTAGTGGCGGTGTAAAAATATCCCGTAACGTTGCATGGGTATTGTAATGGACGCCACACACGGTCATTTCAACTGATCAGTTCAAACTAAAACTGTTGATATTTTTAAAAATAGTGGATTTTAGATATATCGATCATTATAAATACATTAATATCGGAGTTTTAGATATAAGTTTATTTATGTATATATCGAAAATCCGATATTTAAAGAAATATCAACAGTTTTAGTTTGAACTGATCAGTTGAACTGACCGTGTGTGGCCACCATAATAGGTGACATATGGAAACAAACAGGCGGGCAGCAGCTTCTGACCCTGAAATTAATAAAGACTGAACTTTTTCTGGAAATAAGGTATTGCACGTTAGAACTGAGGGAGTGACTATGCATAGCTGAATTTTGATTTTAATCAAGGATAAATGTAGATGTATATACATAGGTCACGACATACACTTTCCATCAGGTGTAATTTTGTCATCTTAATTCTATGAAAAACCTCAGACCCACCTGACAAAGGTGCTATTCGTGACAAAATCTCCCTTCTGAGCCAAGTAATGGGGAGGCTTATCGCCGCCAGCTGATTTTTATAAGTTGTTATTGATGGACTGATTACCCTTCTTAGCTTCGTCCAACAATGGGCATGAACCTCTCCTATTGTAAGAAAGATCTGCCATATAATCGTCATACTTTACTCAAAAATTAGTATTACTTTTGTCGCTGCTTGCTGTCATTGATCTGAGTGAAAACAATTTCGCATGCACAGTATTAACATCTTGCTATAATTTAGAGAATCCACCCATACCGTCTCATAGGTGACATTAAAAGCGAGAATAGATATTGCCAGCAATAATCTCATGGTTTTCGATAGATGGCAGTATTACTGACACACTTACGTCAGACTTGAAATACACACATCTGCGACTGGCAGCAGTGTCAAAGTCTCGCACTGAATTTGAAAAGCGTAACGACTTAAGAAATTCCCTCTTACAATGAGAAAGGCCCATTTACAGAAGTAGACTTATATGGTACGATAAAGAAAGAATACAGGAATATGTTATATAAAATATTAAGTCATCCACAAGATGGAGTGATAGCATATACAATTAGATTTATTACAGATACATAATTATGCTTATAGTAGGAACATAAGGGTTCGGACATGGATGAAAGTGAGAGAATAAAAACTTTTTGACCAAATATTAACCTTCACCTACAGGAAGTTCACAGCTGACTGAGGGACAAAGCTGTGACAATCAGCCGATTAGGATCAAATAATTCCTACAAAATGGAGATGGAAGCAACATGATTTATAACTCCAGCTAATCGGATCCGCACTCACTAGCCCACCTGCTCTACATGTTGAGTAAGGACGATACTTTTAAGGAAATCATACAAGCTGAAGCGTCGATAAAAAGCAAGACTTAAAGGGAAAATAAGAAGAAATGGATAATGAAGTAGTATGTCTCATAACATAAATCAAGAAATAGATTTCTTTAATCTAGAAAACTTGTAGACATTCTAGTCAATTAGGAGGAACTAACAACCAGAAGCAAGTATTTCGAAGAAATCTTGCAGTAAACTATTTAACAAAAGACAGGTAGAAACGGAAGCCAAGGCTCACTCCAATTAAGTATGCGGGACAATTGATGCCATGCACACAATACGTTTAGATAGCAAGTGGGCTAAAGAAAGGGCGCCAACTTTAACGCATGCGCAAAAACAGTATTAGAGGAAAGACTATCAGTCACGCGGATTCAGTCTTCGCGGAGACGCCTCCTGGTACGGGCGTCGTCGATGACTCTAGCTGAATACGAAACACGATAGAAGATCTATTAAAATAATATTAAGTGGGTGAAAGTAGAAAAAGTATATAATACGCCTTCTCTTAAAAGTTGATTCGATACTCAAGCTAGATAAAAGTTGAAATAAGTTAGTATTACAGTAGTTGACAAATGAAAATCATAAGGGTTATACTAAGGTAGGGTACATGAAATGCGCGACGTGCGTGATGCCCTCGCTCGTCGTGTTCGTGCTGCTGACGGTACTGGACTTGTGCGTGCCGTTTTATCACGATCAGTTCGCTCTTCACATTCCGGATGGGTCCAATTATGCGGATGATCTGGCTCATAGACATGGTTTTGTTAACCATGGACAGGTAAGGCCGAGTTAACGAATGATTCCTAAGATAAAAATTTAACAACCTTTGCCCTTTATTAAAAGCACTAACAACAACTTAAAAATGTATAACGTTTATAGATTTGTCTTAAACACTCTGTTTGAAATTTACAATTTTAAATCCTAGGTAAATTTATATTAACTATTTCAAAATTGAAATTAAACAATAAGCTAAATCATAAAAACTAAAAAAACAACACAATACAATAAAAAAAACTGCCCTTTAGATCCTAACGACCTCAAATCACTTCTCTCCTCGTAACGTCGTCAATATATTAAACAAAAAAACCCCGAGTAACTGTTGTCAATTTGTTTACAAGTCCGGGAGATATTAAACATTTAAGGCCGGATTTAAGGCAGCGCTTGTGTATAAATTTGGTAATCCTTTCTGATACTTTCATTAACAATGGCTTCTTGCCTCGGAAAGTATTGTTTAATCTATAAAGTTTACAATTTTCTATTCAGCCTAACATGCTAACTATATAATGTTAGTGTGACAAGTTTTGTACTCGTAGGTATTTGTAACAAGATGATAATATATTTGTAGTTTACTTTCAAATAACTATAGAAAAAGTTTTTTAAACTAAATTATGAACTATGAATTATTAATATATAACGCTATGCTTATTTTTTTCATGTAAAAACAATTATTTAACATTTTCAAATTAATTTATTTTTTATAAACATCTCTGCTAATAAAACAGTATTCAGTAACTATCAATGTTTGTCATTTTAATATAAGCCTAAAAAACTTAATATTATAAAAAATAAATCATTATTTGCAATAACACCGTCGTACAACATTTAAGGGAAAGGATGGTCTGAAATAAAATTTGATTTATGTATTATACACACTTATATTGTCCCGTAAAACTGAAGTAAGCTTAAAAACGTTATTGACAGCGCCGAGAGCTCAACCAAAAACTCTTTGAAGTACCATTAGTGTTTAATATCTTTCGTAAACAGTGGTTCAAAAATGTTTTCCCCTCTGTCTCCCTATCTTCAAAAGGTTGCTTTTTAAATAAAGCGCAATGAAATCACGAATACATAATATTTTACAGATTGAAGGATAATTATGGGGTTTCGTAATTAATTTTATATTTTTACTAGTTTGGCTGGATTTTATTTCATTTAAGAGGTAATTGATTTAAAACGATTTTCAATTCATGTGATTAGGCATATTGATTGAGACTATGAAATACGGAATGTTGTCTTTTAAACTTTGACTCGTATAAATTTTCAGCTTAGATACAATTCAAAAATTTACGAAATTTAATTACTACAGTGTTCCTCATTAAAATGAAATAAACTTTGATCTAAGTAAATTTTTTTAACATTTACGATGTTATTCCCGTAGAAAGAACAGTTTGAATTTACGGTTGCAAATCAGCTATTTTAGTTTAGCGTTTTCCAAACTAATTATATTATATTTAACATATTTCCTCAAAAGATATAATATCTCTATATAGTTCAAAGTATCGTTGTGAAAGTGCTATAAAAAACGAATATAGATATTGAGGTACATTAACGTAAGAAACGGTCTGAATTACGGTATTTGTTGACTTAAAACTAGACATGCATGAAGACGTTGACGATGAATTGTTTGGAAGATAAAGGGAAGGGAAGGGAAGCCTTTACAAGTGGACTTGTGAAGGATTGTAATGATGATGGTAATGACGATGTTTGCTCAAAATTTTTTCTGTTCTCAATTGATATGAACAATATATGATTATTAAAGTGGGAAAAAATGAGGTAGGGGAAGCTTAGAGACGCGTAAAGTTAATTGCGCATAGCGAGCACTTATTTTGCGAATTTAAAACATTTATGCGTACCAGTTATTATAAAATTCTGAAAGCCTCCATTCAGTACAATTTTTTAATTCTCAATTTAATTCGCACCAAATTTATTATTTTACAACCCTTAGGGATTTCTTTTTAATTACTATTTTACCCCAATCAGCCCCCTGCATGCAAATAAATGTAGATGTCTAACACAGATTTGTACAAAAAAACAAATCAAACAAATTAGAGCTACGGGAGGGGGGGGTTGCAGAAACGACCTCCTAAAAATAAAAATAAATTCACGGTAGCCAATTCGCTTGCAACTATGGCAAATATTCTACCTATGGACTCATGGATAATTTCTAGAGAGGTCTATGTTCAGCATTGGGCTTTAATAGGCTGTAACGGTAACGTAACTCATTTTTGCAAATGAATTTTCTTTTTTATCGGCTCTTGGATCTTTAACGCTAGAGGGATGGTTTAACGTAATCGCACTACCAGTGTTTTGCACTTTCAACGCTAGTCTCAGTCGCCATTCTGGGTGTTTTCAGACGTAATGAAGATTATTATACTGTAATTAATTAAATACGTGAGATTTTTCTTGCATAACTGTAATTTGACGCTACACAGCCACCACACAGTATTATAATATTTCTTTTTTTGAACATATTTTTTGTCACTAAAAACAATAATGTTAAATGAAACGATAATGTACTCTAACTCGTGGGTATAAGAGCAGATATTTTATCAAATGTTTAAAAAATTAATAAAAAAGAAATTTGATTATAAATTCACACGATAAAAAGTGTAGATACTAAATATGAACGAAATATTTTTTTCGCTTTGCCATCATTCTTTTCAGCCAGTCAGCCGTCATCATCATTGATACATCGTCGCATGACTTCATTTTTGCACTTGGGATTCATGAGGAATTCCACGGTCCCGAGCCACCTAAATCCAACGATGTATTTAATGTCTCCCCAGAATTTCACTCTAGTTATTTGGAGGCCGTCCCACCACTCGAGAACCTTACATACCTATTGGTCATCTGTTCTTAAAACTATATGGCTGGCTCATTGTCACTTTAGCTTATAGATTTGTTGGGTTACTTTAATGTTACCTCTAAATATTCATAACGGATTCTAAGACACTGAGAAATTTCTAACACATATGAGTATATTTCCATAGCACAATGAGTGGCTTCTCAACTTCTTCAATAGGCCAACTGTGAAGGGTTACGACTTTTTTCTATTGGCCAGCATTGTCATCCCGCACGTGAAAACTCATTATCAGCCCGTAAAATTCCACTGCTGGACATTATATGGTCTCGTTGTTGTAAGTTATGGTTTTCGCAACTCATGGTGAGTGACGATATTTTATGGCATGACTTAAGACTTACAAAGTAATTGTTTTATATTTATCTATCTTTATCTATTTGTTGTGTTGAATACGTATATGGTTTGTGCCAAAATAAAGTGTATCTTTATTTTACTTTAATCTCGCAATTCCATTCATCTCCTTATTTTATGTCTACGATAAGCGAGATATCGCCTATCTATCGAAATCTTATTGCTTCCTGTATATTTTTTTAAGAATAAGGATTACAAACGAGCACAGTCCATCTGATGCTAAGTGGACGCGGTGGCCCATAGACATCTATATTTAAAGTTAAAGTAAAGTTACAGCTTATATACGTCCCACTGCTGGGCACAGGCCTCCCCTCATTTCTGAGAGGGTTTTAGAGCAAGGAGTTAGCGAACTTCACATGTCTTCAAATATTTTTTTTCTTATTCCTCGGACATGCCGGTTTCCTCACGATGTTTTCCTTCACCGCCGAGCACGTGGTAAATCAGCACTTAAAATTGCAATTACCAATTTCATTGGTGCCGGCGGGGATCGAACCCGGGTTACTCGCGTTCTGTTATATTTATAGCGAGCTTTAGCCATCTGAGCTACCACGGCTATATCCATATCCATTTATATTTAATATAAATTTTACGTAGATAAATAGACATCTATATTTATCTACGTACAATTTGTCTTCGGTTTCTTACACTCACCATACGAAACACAACAGAATTTTACTTTGGTATTTTGTAAGTGTCCTACCCCGGTCGAATCGACCCATTCCACTACAACCACGATATTGCTGTGGCGTGGCTCTACCACGCATATATGTATGTATAATTATCTATCGAAAACCATAAGATTTTAATGGCATTTACCAAAGTCGCTTCTTACGCCACCCACGGAACCAAATGGTTAGTCAATTTCGTCCCGCACGCATACACCTGTACAACGCTACTGCACGTGAAACATGATAAATAGTACGTAAATTGCAATCTACATTTTTATCGATATCGGCAGTAGGATCGATCTCCAGTTTGCGTTATACTTAACAAATTTGTAACACTTATTGTACTAACAAGTGGCAAAATTAAAAAAAAATACAACCGACTTCAATATAAATTATTAAGAAAAACTCAAAATCTAATAGTCACACCTTGATTAAATTTATATGGAACTACATAAAAAGTACCAGAGGAAAAAGGTAACACACATTAAAAAAAAAAACATACAGTCGAATTGAGTACAGCTTCCTTTTCGAAGTCAGTTAAAAAATATTTCTTATTTATCTTAGACATTCTAGTATTTTGTATAGCATACTTTGACCTTTTTTCTTCATTTTCTTTTTAAGCCCTCATAATAGTTGTGAAGATTAATTATTACTCCATAATGAACGCGGATAGGTTTTCGTAGCTCGAGGGATAGAACGGAAAAAACTGCTTCTTTTCGATAATATAGGACAAAAAGAAACGTAAAATTAATCAAAACTAGTTTTAAATAAACGTTATACGATTGAAATTTTAGAAAAATTAAAACTTTTATAATTGTCTTTAAAAGTCCAATCCAAACTAATAATGGGAGCAACTCTATCAGTGCGAGAGTAACATAGCTATTCTAGTTATGCCAAAAATATTTCGAAGGCATGTGAAGTCTACCAATATGCTTTAGGGCACTTCTTTGCTGTTAATCCCTTTCAGAAATGAGAAGAGACCTGCACCTGGTAGTGGGACGTATAAAGAAAAATGCTGTAAACTTACTTTAATTTAATATGAATATCGAGTTTATAACAGATACAAAACGCCCACACCCGTGACGGTGAGCAACGTCGAAAGTGCGAGATCTCTGGTACTTC